TCTGTTCGGTAGCTGCCATTGCTCAAACTCCTTATGGGAGGGGGAGCATGCAGACAGACGGGTGCAGAAGCTCAAGCAGGTGTGTGTTATAGTGAGCTCTTTTAACCTTGTTGTCTATGTAAAGCTTAAGTGTTAACCAGCTCAGTGGACCCTCTGCCTTTCTGCAAGGACAGAGGGCCAGAGTGACAGCTTTCTGTATTCTGAGCTCTTGTCCAGTGTCCCAGAAAAATTGGGTCACAGACGGATTTGAAGGATGGTGAATGCTGGGGTTTTATTTAGTGGTGGAGGTCATTCTTAGGGGGTGGATGGGGAGCTGGGAAGGGGATGGAGTGGGAAGATGGTCTTTCCCTGGAGTTGGCTGTCCAGTGGCTGATTCTCCAACCGTCCCCAGCCGAACTCCTCCCAACATTCCTTCTCTTCTCCCTGTCTCTACTACTCTTCTCTTTGTCTCCTTCTCTCCTCCTAGAGCTGGGGATTTGTGGTTTATATGGGTACAGGATAGGGGGGTGTGGCGGGCTAAAAGGCAACTTTTGGGTGCAAAAATTGGAATGCCTGTTCCCATTTAGGGCCTCAGGTATCTAGGCTTGAGGGTAGGGCCTTTGCTCGGGACCCCCACCCTCCTGCCTCTTGTCCATATCAGTTCTAAGGCATTGCCTTGGAAACTGTCTGAGAGGTAAAGATTTTATTTCCATAATCTCATAATTCACATCCCAGTCACTTATGCATATGTCTGGACAAACTTTGGTTGCAGTGTTTGGCAGCTCTTTGCGCTCTGCAAAATATTTCTGTGGCATTTGGAAAGCCCAGACAACCCCAACAATGTGGGAGTTGAGGAGGAGAAAATGTAGAAGCAATTTCCCTTTAGAGTTATGCATTTTGCACACAATGCAGAGTAGGAGGAACATTTATGTGAACTGTGCTTTTGGGCATCATTGAAAGTTATGGCCTGTAAGAAAATGGGAATCAGTTTTATTTAAGTTGGTCTTTAAAAGGCAGCCCTAGAGGAAATTCTATCCCCATTATCTCTGTCAACTATAATTTTTATGTCTTGCTGCTGACTCTCCATTACACTCCTACACTCCTACCTCTCAAGTCATTTTCTCTATCTACATGGCATTATTCCACTTGGGCTTCCTCCCATAATTCATTTTCTCAACTTTAAATTGATATGTTTTTTAGAAATAGGGTCTCCCTATGCTGCCCAGGCTGGTCTTGAACTCGTAGGCTCCTCCCACCTCAGCCTCCTGAGTAGCTGGGACTAGAGGAGTCACGTACCACCATGCTTTGCTTTTAGCTCTTTGTTTTTGAAATTATCTCAGACTTAAAGATAATTTGCAAAAATAGTACTACGAGTTTCCATATATCCTTCACCAGGTTCCCCGAATATTCAAATTTATTTATTTCTTGTCTTCTTTTATTTATTTTATTTACCTGTTTATTATTTATCTTCTTTTTCTTTCTCTGAAATTTTTGGGAGTAAGTTGCAAATATGATGTCTTTTATCCCGAAATGCTTCAGTACATGATTCCTAAAAATAAATGTTCTTTCACATAACCGCAGTACAATAAGCAAATTAGGAAATTAATATTCATCTAGTATTAATTTAGTCCAGCAGTTGGTAAATGTGGCTTCCCATTTATATTTGTAAGTAAAGTTTTATTGGAACACAGCCATGCCCATTTGTTTATGGACCATCCTTGGCTGCTTTCTGCCTACAATGGTATTGTTAAATAGTTGTGATAGAGACTACATGGCCTGCAGTCTCTGAAAACATTTACCATCTGATCTAGAGAAAACACTTGTGAGCCTTCATCTAGTTGACAGATCTTATCAAATTTTATCATTTGTCCATAATGTCTTTTACTGCAAAAAAAAAAAAAAATTATCATTTGGTATCCTGTCCATGATCACATATTATATTCGATTGTTATGTCTTTTTATTCTCTTTCATTGTAAAACAATTATTTCGTGTTTCTTTATTGTTCATGATCTTGATACTTTTGATAAATACAGGACACTTATTTTGTAGATCACATTTCAGTTTAGGTTTGTCTGAATTTTTCTCATGATTTGATTTACATTATGCATTTTTGGTAATATTCAGATGTGAGGTTTTGTCTTTCTTAGTGAAATCTAATGAGGGGCACATGATGTCTATTTTTCTCATTATTGGTGGTAATTTTTATCCCTTTGGTTAAGATGATAGGGTTTCTCCACTGTAAAATTACTGTTTTTTCCCTTTGTACTAAATACGTGTCTTGTGGGAAAATGCTTTGAGTTTATGTAAGTATCTGTTTTTTAAATCAAACTTCCACCTGTAGTTTTAGCATCCACTAATAGTTCATCTCTATAACAATTACTATTATGGTGGTGGCCCAAAGCGATTTTTCTTTTTTTGAGACAAAGTCTCGCTCTGTCATCCAGGCTGGAGTGCAGTGGTGCGATCTTGGCTCACTGCAACCTCTGCCTTCCGGGTTCAAGCAATTCTCCTGCCTCAACTTCCCCAGTAGCTGGGATTACAGGCACCTGCTACCACGCCTGGCTAATTTTTTGTATTTTTAGTAGAGACAGGGTTTCACTATATTGGCCAGGCTGGTCTTGAACTCCTGACCTCGTGATCCACCCACCTCGGCCTCCCAAAGTGCTGGGATTACAGGCGTGAGCCACTGTGCCCTGCTGAATAAAGGAATTTTAAAATTCTCTTTGGTGGCTCATGCCTGTAATCCCAGCATTTTGGGAGGTCGAGTGGGTGGATCACGAGGACAGGAGTTGGAGACCAGCCTGGCCAATATAGTGAAATTCCTTTATTCTTCCATATTTACTAGTTTGAAATCTAGTCTTAGCAAGGTTCTTCCTCTCTCCCTTCTTTTTCTTTTATTTCCTTCTTTCCTTCCTTTCTTTTTCTTTCTTTTCTTTTCTTTCTTTTTCTTTGTTTCTCTTTCTTTCTTGCTTGCTTTCTTGCTTTCGTCTTTCTTTCTTTCCTTTCTTCTCTTTCTCCCTCCCTCACATCTTTCCTTTCTTCCTTCCTTTTTTCTCTTTCTCTCTTTCTTTCTTGCTTGCTTTCTTCTTTCCTTTCTTCTCTTTCTCCCTCCCTCACATCTTTCCTCCATTTCCTTCCTTCTTCCTTCCTTCCTTCCTTCCTTCCTTCCTTCCTTCCTTCCTTCCTTCCTTCCTCCCTCCCTCCCTCCCTCAATTTTTTCTCTCTCTCTCTTTCTTTCATCTCATAGGTTTAAAATTTTATTTTGTGGTCTATAATCTATAACTATTGTTTATTTTGATGCTCAAAATGTTCTAGGAAAATTTTTACTTTTAACAATGATTCATTAGGTAGTAATTTGAAATACTAGGGGTCAAATGCTGTGTTTCAAACATCTCTGCATAGCCGTTGCCTAACATAGTGCATGGAAATGTTAGGCATTCAATAAATATTTTTTTGAATGCAGGTCCTAACTCAAATGACTAAAACACTAAATACAGAATGTTAAACACGGATTAGACAATGTATTAGGCATATGTTGGAGTATAGCTTCAGTATTATAGCCAGTGTGAGCAGAAACCATGATTCTTTTTTTTTCTTTTTTGATTAATATTTTCAGAGTAGTGAGGCTCACTTGATTTTTAAAATTAAATCAATGTTTTCTCACTTGCTTTTGAGACTGAAATCTCTTTATCAGAAACATGGCTTTCCCTAGACATATTCTAGTTCTAGCTTAGTGGGAAGTGTTTCAAATTCCCTTGTGGTCTAAAACCTTCTTAGTGTTATCCAATTGGTGGAAAGTGATTGTCTTAGGGATTCAGGAAAGATTCTTACCTGACTCCAGAACAACTAATTCAGAATAAAAGCAGTTCTATGTATTTCCCAAATCTCTATTTTCTGACATCTATGAAAACTTATCACAATAGTACTTCTAAGAAATGATAATGATGTTCTCTTATTCAACATCACCCTCTTCAGCTCCATTTTTCCCTCTAATTTGTCAACAAGGGGAAAATTCCTGATGATGCTTTGCGTTTTGATGTTATGATTACCATTTAGGATTTGTCCTTGAAATCAGTGAACTGGTTTGGGGTAGGACGGGCTGGTTTGGGAATTATAGGAATGTTACTTGAGGCTGTCTGTGCCTGGAAGGAAGCCATGAGTACTAAAGAGGAAATAGCTGAGATTGGCTCAGAGGAAGTGTAACGAGTGATATTTTCCCCATTCCTAAGTCAAGTCTTTGCTGTTACCGTCAATAACTGCTAACTCAGAGGATGCAACCCTAGTAATTCATTTCCTTAAGTAAGTGGATTCTACAGGCATGGTGCTTACTTCTTGGCAGATATTGAAATATCTAACAGGGCTGCAGTGGGGGTTCCATACTGTCAGTTTCTGTACCCCTGTGAGCCTCTGCCCTCCTGCTAATCTTCCCAGTCTGGGAAGTAGACTTGGGCAGAGATCAATCTTCCTTTTGGCTCTATGGCATGGCATAGCTGAATCAGGAGGTTTAGATGCATAATTAAGCATCCTTGCTTTCTGATTACCTCATGAATTGCCTCTTGATTCTTGGAGTAAAATTGGTCCATTTTGCCTCAATTTTGGAGGTTAATTATCTAAGAAGGTAACAACATTTTTTCTTGGAAGTAGGTGTTCATTCTATTTGGATAGTTGAACGAAAGTTGTTCTTGGGAGCAACATGACCATCAGATATGTGCAAAGCAATTTAGAATTCATTGTACAGTGTGTCATGCATTCATTATTTTCTCCAGAAGGGTTAGGCATTGTATTTTAACTGATGTCTACAGCATCTGACTGAAGGAATTCCCTTGAGCATCTCATTTGCCCACCCCCATTATCTTTCTTCCCCCTTCTGAGCTCTCCTTCAGCAAGAACTCTGTCTCTTCTATGTGCCCTGTGACACATCATATAAATTGCTGCAGCAGATTGTGATGAACCTTGATATTCATGGAAACTGCAACCCAGGTGGGAGATAACCTTTGACAGGCTCTCTCCTATTCTTTAGTGGCCAGTTTCACAAAGAGCCTGCAGGAAGCTGCCTCCAGCAGGCTGAGTCCTGAGGAGGAGACGATAACAGTGGGAGAAGCACCTGGTAACAGCGGCACTTCATCCAGGAAGAAAACAGGATCTAAAATATAAACAACATCCTTACAACACAAGTGGGTGCACAGTTCACTCTCGAGTGTGTTCGACTATATTCTTCCAAGAGTCTCATGAGAATCTTACTGAAACAGGAAGATGGTCAAAAGATGAATCGAAGTGTCAAGATTTCCAGTGAACATCATCAAAAAGGTTTTTTCTGTTGTTGTTGTTGTTGATCTTTTATTTTTAAACAATGAGTATGACCAACCATGCCATATCTGCAATGTCGAACTATTTTTTTAGCTGAATAAAAATTTAAATACCTCAGAACTGACACTATTTTAAGGGAAATGATGTAAATGGGAACAAAACAAAAAGAAGAAAGCGTTTTGATGATCCTGTCTTTCTAAAAGCATCTCTTCCAAAGCAGATGTTATCTTTATTAAACATCATAGGATCAGTAAAGATGACATTTATTAAGTGTTCACCATTCCAGGTATTGTGCAAGGTGCTTCCTGGGTACCATCTCATTTAATACTCTGGAAAGTTATGCACAGAGAGGGTAAGCAGCTCTCCTAGTGTCTCATAGCTAGTAAGTGATGGACCCAGGACTGAGACCCAGGCAGTGTGGCTCAGAGTTGGCTGGCTTGCTTGTCCTTTACACTTTTGCCTATCTGTACCACTTATACATTTTAGTAAGAATTGTATTGATAGAGGCATGAGGCAGAGAAATTCTAGACAGACAGGGGTGGGCCCCTGGCAAAATCCCACCTTCAGGTCAAAAATCCCGAAACCCGCGGCTCAAAAGTGAGAATTTCTATCCCTGTTCGCTCACTCTCTCTCAATTGGTTCTTTCTGAATAATGTCTTTCTAACCATAAAATGTTGCCTTTTCCAAAACTACCTGTGGCCTGGCAGGATCCCCATCTTGTGCCTATAAAGACCCCAGACTCAGTCAGTAGAGGAGAGAAGCGGCTTGATTGGAGAGAGCTGACTTGACTTCAGGGGGATGGGTGGACTTTGGAGAAGAGACAGCCAGAGACAACGAGACTTCAGGGAAGATTATCTTCCTTTCCTGTCCCCTCTCCAGCATCCCTCTCTGCTGAGAGCCACTTCCATCGCTACATAAAATTCTCCACCTCCACCATCCTTCAAGTGTCCGTGCAACCTAATTCTTCTTGGATGCCAGACAGGAGCTTGGGATCCACCGAGTGTGGATACCCAAAACAGGTTGTCATACTGGCCCTGTGTGTTCACTGGTGGAGGGCAGCTGCTCCACACAATGAGTCAAGGAATCTACTGAGCTGATAACACACTGCTATCCATGGACGGCGGAGCTAAGAAAGCATTGTAACATGCCCTCTGGGGCTTCAGGGGTCACAGGCACCCCCACCCTGGCATTGCCACGGGGCCTGCCTGGAGCCTGCTCCTGCCAGCACCCAAAGCGGCTGTCTGGAACACTTGCTCGCTCATACGCTCCCTCCCGCAAAAGGTTGAGTGCAGCAGGCCAAATAAACAGGGCACCTCTGTTGCAATTCCAACGAAAGGGTCGAGAAAAACTCCTGCATCAGTATTATGTCCATACTCTTTTTAAAAAGATCCTGTGGCTGGTAAATAAAAAGTCATGATCAGTATGCTAATTTTGTTTCTTCAAATTATCAATGTCTCTTCAGTCGTAGACTCAAAACACCAATAACATTTCATGCCAAAGGCCATTTCCTTAATATTTCTTATGGCCTTCAGTCGACGCCACTACATAGGTTTTAAGGATCAGGCCCAAGACCTTTTGCTATAAATTACCAAGAAAAATCTGCTGGGTGTGATGGCTTATGTCTGTAATCCCAGCACATTGGAAGCCAAGGTGGAGAGATTGCTTGAGTACATGAGTTTAAGACCATCCTGAGCTTATCTCTACAAAACAAAAATGAAATAAAATAAAAAGAAAGAAAATGAAAAGTAATATCGCTACTTTAGAACTTCTCTATAGTTTCCTTGTTTGTTGCAAGGGAAAGAAACTGAGACAGAAGACAAATTGAGAAGGTAAATGTCAAAAGTAAATGTGTCATTCTTACCTCTGAACAGGTATAACTATCATGAGTTTTTAAGAATGGTGGACATCCAAGCTGGTTCCTGTTACTTAGAGCAGACCCCTCCTATAACTTCAGCTGTTTCTTCAGTTGGGTTGCCACTGACATTTCTGGGATGACCTGAAATCTCTGGAGATTAAGGCTTTCAGAACTAGGTGTACCTGAGCATCTTGAAAATGCACCCGTCCACCTGGTCTAATTAGAAAAGTTACTATTTCAACAAATAGCACATTTTTCTAAAAAGAAATGGGGTAAAATAGCTCTTGATTTTAAGACAGGTGGTAAATTCTATCTTGTTGTAGTCATCTTCATGTTATTAATTTATCCATTCATGTAGCAAATGTTTACTGAGTCTGTGCTGTGTACCAGGCATTTTTCTAGGGTTGAATGTAGCAGTGAACCAATATAAAAACTGCTGTCCTCTAGTATCTTATATTCCAGAGTGTTATTAAGTGGTCCACATTTTATTTCTACTCCATAACTGGAGATCAAAAGAACAAATGATGGAACATGATAATAATAAAAATATAATTGCTTTGTTAAATTTTAACAGGTATTAGCAGTGTGCCAGGCACTTTACATGTATTAGATCCTTAATCTTTACAAGAAATTTTATGTAGATTTTAATCTACAAAAATGGCTAAGTTTTTGATTCAACCAAATGCAATTATTATTCCCATTTTAAAGATGAAGAAAAAGAGGAATCGATCCCAAGTCAATGAACAGATTTCTTAAATATCATGTAGATAAATGTGTTGGAACTGAGTCACACACCCAGGGGCCCCTGACTCCAGGTCCACATGATCTGTCACCATGCTCTACTGAATCAGAAGGGTAGAACTTATAATTAAATATGTCCAGGTGAATAGAATATTAGTTTAAAGGAAAATTGGCAACTGTTAATGTAATCACTCTAGATGTTAATACAATATAGCCAGCTCCCACTGGCTTAATTTTATTTTCATCATCATCTTTATATGCCAGTAGCATTTAGCCCTTGTAATGTTTTTTAGGTGCCAAGGTAAGCTCTGGCGAAAGAGTTTCCTTTTGCAGTGAACCCAGTGAATCACTTATCCTTCCCCTAAGATCAGGAACTATTTTAAGTACCTGACTTCCAGTGAGTGTTATGGAGATTGACAGAGGTGCTGGTTGTATTTTGCAGTTTCATTAACTCACCCATTCTGACTTTCCCCAAGGCACATCAATAAGACGAAGCTATCTACAAAAGGTTCCTTGTGACTCTTTTATGTGGAGTATGCCTGATTCTTGCAAAAAAGCCAAAGGGCCTTAGCTTCCTACAGGAAATCTGTGACTAAATCCAGGACCTAGAGCGGAAACATTAAGTGTATCGTGGGAGAAAAGGAAAGCAAAGTGCTAAAGTTGTTACTCTGAACAGAGGATATTGGAGCATCCTGCAAAAAACTTCCTGTTTAGCCAGGAGACTAGAAAACAAGATGAAAAACACTTAACTTCAATGACTATTGTGTAAATATATTTTTATACTTTCATTATCTTGGGCAGGGCTTACTCACAAGAACTCCTGGTTTCCCAAGGTGGAGAGTTAGTCACTGAGTCACACCCAGCCTCCCATCTTCCTTGTTTTGACGGCCACACTAAGACCTTGTGTCATTTGTGTAGGCTATCCCCAGGCCTGTACCACATCCTATGCTGAACTTTCTTCCCGAAATGTACTTCCTTCAACTTGTGTTAAACAGCCTGTGGGACAGATTCAGAGAATGCATGGGAAATAACCTGCCTTCAGCTATCCTGCCTCCTCCAAAATCAGGCTATGGGAACCAGTGGCTCAGTAAAGAGCAAGAAACACTTTTGTATAAATAAAACGAAGCTGCTATTTATGCTTTCTATTCTGAAACACTTTCAAATGGTAGAATAAGATGAAATTCAAGAAGGAAAATTGGAGTTTGTAGGGAGGGCTGGAAAATGTAAATGATTAGAAAAAAAGAAAAATTGGAGTTTTGAATTCCTTTATTATGACAATTTTAGATACTTAGTCAAGCACATCCCAAATGGTGTTATATTGTGTTAGATGTTAGAGTATGTGTTATGTGCGATGTTGTACAGGGAGTGACTATGAATAGAGACATTCTCAGTTGTTTTAAACTTATCTCACTGGATTGTTTCAAATGGAATAAAGTAGAAATAGTTTAAATGGGAAAGAATGGAAAGCTAGTCCCTTTTTCTTTATGTTAGCTATTGAGATTTACTAGTGCATCTAGATTTACTAGTGTGTGAGGGCTGTTTAGCCATCTTCCTTCCAAGATCTTCTTAATCTTCCTTTTCTCCTTCCTCTCCACCCTCCAAATCAGGATGACCTCATAATTATTCTTTTTTCTTGCACCACCAGTTCTGAAATTTCCTAATTAAAAACACTAGCAACAAGTAGATAAAGACAGAGAAGCCCCTTCCATATAAATCAGTAAAGATGAAAAAGCGTAATTAGTGACATAATGTGGTTGGCTCTGTGTCCTTACCCAAATCTCATCTCAAATTGTAATCCCCAGAATCCCCACGTGTCAAGGGAGGGACCTGGTGGGAGATGATTGGATCATGGGGGGCTGTTCCTCCATGCTGGTCTTGTGATAGCGAGTGAGTTCTCATGAGAGCTGATGGTTTTATAAGTGTTTGACAGTTCCTCCTTCACACACACTCCTCTCTCTTACCTGCCGCCATGTAATATGTCCCTGCTTCCCCTTCCACCATGAGTAAGTTTCCTGAGGCCTCCCCAGATGTGTGAATCTGTGAGTTAATCTCTTTCCTTTATAAATTACCCAGTCTCAGGTATTTCTTGATAGCAGTGTGAAAATGGTCTGATACATGCTGTGTCTGAAATCCTGTTTTCTCTTCTGTTCTTTTAGACACCATAGATTTGAATATAAGCTAGCTTTGGAGACAGAACTCTGTTGGTACTACTTTTGTAAGATAATATTTGTTTCCTAAGACTCTGATTCTGTTCTACATATAAGTTTTATATATTTCTTGTAGTTTTTAAGAATGCTGTGATGAGTTATAATAATAGCAATAAAAATAACATCTACCAATTGTTCAGTTCCTTTCCCTGGTTGTTAATTTTGATAACCTCTTTATCAACAATGACCTCCTCTATACTGCTTTCAATGACTGTACCTTGGGCCATGTTGACAATTGGAGTTGTTCCACTTTAGAAACCCAGAGTTCCCTCTGTCTAACTCCGATCACCTATCTTCTGGTTAACTCCTAACAG